AAGAACAACGAAGAATGCTCGTCAACAAGTATAAAGACGGTTTGAGATAAGCCCTGAGGTTTAGGGGCTCGAGAATTTACCTGTGATAAGGCATGTCTGTCGTAAGAGGCGACTAGAATGCTATAGTTCCCGCGACAGAACAATATTCTTCGAAAACCAATTCAGTAAATATTTTGTTGTAACAACAACAACAGCAACAGAACTTCGAGCTTTTGTCAACAACTCTTCCCTGCCAAGGATATAAAATAACTTTGGAACTGACTTCTCACCGCCAAATAAAACAATTGACTCTCGTCAAGACCGAAAGAAAAGCTGTTGCGATGATGATTTTCGCTCTGTAGTGAGACTCATGCCGGCAGTTGAGAAAGATTTCGAGGCTTTTAGAGAGAAGCGGGTGGTATTTGCTGAGGAAAAAAGAGAGAGACTAAAATATGCACGAACGGAGAACTTGAGGAGTCGGTCAATAGGTAAAATACACCAAAATTATGCGAAGAAATGTAGATACGAAAAAGGTGCTCTATAATTTTAAAACTCTAGAAATTTACGCTGAACACCGATACGAGTTTATTACAGTGATCTACATAAACGTGCAGCCCATAAACCGGAAGTTATACCAACTCAACTCAACACTACAAGTGACGTTCTGTACTAAAAGATATTTTAAATTATTTGACGCTCTATCGTGTGACTTCTTAAACCTAATACGAGCTGCAGAACTAAATGGAGCGAACTAACCTAGTATTCCCTCCCATTGTGAAGAGCAATGTGTAGATATTTCGATGAGAGTTCGATAGCAAGAGTGGGACAAAAATACTTTTGATGTTCGTCTTGACCAAAACGAAAAAAAAAGTACAATACAGAGAAGTTTTATTTCAATCCAATCATCATCTTAAACTAAAAACAGAAGTAGAAACTCGGAGATACGGGGAAACTTCTATCGTTTTTTATTATTATTCGTTTTTTATTATTATTTTGTATGGTCAACATTCATGGTATAACAATTAGCCTATTTGGTTATAAGTTCGTCGATGTTGCCAAATCGCCAACTACTTCCTAATCTAACCTAACTTTACTATAAATTGCCACAGGCTCTTAACGAGAGATAATTCAAATGGAAAGTTTGAGAGCACTTGTTAACACCAATTGTAGTTAAAATTCCTTGCATATTATTTTATTGCATTTAGAGCAGAGAGTGTTAAAGATAAAATTATTTATTTTTTTTATAAATTTTTAAATATTGCATTTTTGTGAAATTGTATAATTCTTTCATTTTCCGAAAATATTGTATCGAATTCACGTCGACTTTTGCAGTTTTTGTTTACTAAGGAAACATGGAATACTTCACTGTTTGCTGCAAATTTACCAGTGGCTCCCAAAATAGTAAATGTTTCTACTTTCATCGTTTTTCATTGCACGTAAAAATTTTTAGCAAATCAATTAATATTAAAAATGGATTATTATAAATGAAAAATTAAACATTAAAAATTAAACGTTTTGAAATTTTCATAAGATTTTATTATAATCTTTTTCCCGCTATAAATACTTGTAGAAAGATATTTCCTTGTGTGTGGTAAAATTGATCAACATATTTTTTTAATATGGTATTTAAAAAATTGTCACGTACAGACGTGCAAATGAAATATTATGATAATTAAATTAAACGAATTTGAATGTTAAAGTTTATGGACTTACAAACATATGTATGTATGTACATACTTAAGTAAGTATTTAGAGTGATGTATAGGATTTATTTTTCGTTCATTTTCAGATGTCAGAAAAGTGAATGAAAAAGTTTATTTTTTGGTTCTGCCAGAAGTCGAATACAATGCTTGCCACTGCTTGGCTTTGAATATCTTTCACTGAATATTCAATAAAAATAAGTCTCAAACGGCCAATGAACTGTATTAATATAATGGAAAAGTAATTATATTATTCTTTATATTATATATTTTCTTACAATTAATTCGCAAAAAATCTTTAAATTTAGCTAATTTTAGTATTTTGCGTTGTTGTATTACATTTTTGCTGAAATTTCACGAACGCCACGTTTGTTCTGCCTACTAAAACGCCAAGTCTATCGGCATAAAAGTGTACTTATGTATGTATGTATGTATGAAAATTCGAATGGTTTATAAATATAATATACGTATATACTGAAGTGTAGGCATTTTTCATATTCAGTCATAAATTTTACACGCACAACATGAAGAAATTTAATATGTATTAATCAAAAAACAAAATGAAATATAAAAAAATAAAAATAAAAATAATAAAAACACAACAACGTGCAGATGCTTAATGCGACACAAACGCAATGATGATGAGTGCAAAAGGTGGGGCAGAAACGTGTAACCGTGAATTCGTAAAGATAGAAATGCCAAGTGTAAGAGAACAGAAAGACAGAGAAAGAAGTTCTAATAAAAATTTAAATAAACAAAAGTAAAATAAAAAGCAAAAAAAAAACAATTACGAAGTAGCAAAATAAAAGTCAATTTTTTGTTGCAATTTCAATTGTTGTTTGCATACAACAATATCGTGCTGTGTTGGCAGCAGCGGCGTGCGGTATATTCAGCTATGGAGCAGGCATATACTATATCTGTGTATGTAGATGGAGCTTAGCTTTGGTAGGCGCGCGCGTATTGTGGTAGCAAACTGGTTTCCTTTCAACTTGATTTACCCAACTTTTAGTTTTGTTTTCTACATTTTCTTTACTTCTTTTCTTCACTATTATTTCTGCTGCTTTACAATTACATTTTTTTCTTCGTACTTTTTGTTTATGTTTACTTTTGGTCTTTTGTCTACGTTGTTATATTTTTATTTTTATTTTTTTAAATCTGCTCATTTATGCTTTTCATGTGCTTGTACTGTAGTTTTATTAGATTCTGTGTTGTATACTTTCATTGTTTGTCATACATGTATATACGCACATGCGTATTTCTTATTCATGTTGTCATTGTTTTTTTTTTTTTCTTACTAATAATTGATTAAAAAAATTAAATATATAAATTCAAATTTCTGTGACATCTTTTTTATTGTTTCTTCGACGAATCAGACGGTTTTAATGTGTAATTGTTATTGTTTTCTTACAAGAATTTTCACACCTTTATATAGAGAATAAAAAAAAACAAATAAAAAATAAATAAAGCAAAAGAGCATAAAATAACAAAATGGAAACAAACTTAAATAAAATAATTATAAAAAAATGAAAATAAAATAAAATTGAATTAAAAAATTAAAATCAAATTATTTAAAATATAACAAAACCAAAAGAATGAAAAGCAAACTAAAAATTTAATAAATTTGTATAAATTGAAATATAAAAAAAAATAAAATTTCATTAAATTGAATTAAATAAAATTAAATAAAATAAAAAAGGTAATAAATTTAAATTTATTATAGTAAAACTTAAAAAATAAAATTATAAAAACAAAAGGAAAGAAAATAAAAAATAAATAATTAATTTAAATAAATTAATATTAAATAAAAAATAAAAATTAATATAAAAATAAAAATATAAATAAAAATTAAAATAAAAAAAAATAAAATAAAATAAAATAGTATAAATAAATTAAATTATATTAAATCAAATTAAATTAAATTAAAAGAAAATAAAATAAAATAAAAGAAAAGCGAAGTGAAAGAAAATTAAATTAATAATTAAAATTAAATAAAAGACAAAATAAATTAAAATAAAACGGAAGAAAATAAAATAAAAGAAAATTAAACAAAACAATGACAGTAAAATTAAATTAAATAAATAATAAATAAGTTCAAATAAAATGAATGAAAATAAAAACTAATTAGGAACGACCTTCCTTAATGTGGTTATATAAAGCTAACTGTAGTCCATTGCCAACGGCTTATGTACATGCAATGAAACAAAAGACTTAAGCAGCAAACCCTTTAAGTTTGCGACTTAATTCCTTTACAACAGTTTGTCAATAGTTTCAAAAATCGATGTAAAACTCAACTCATGTCATTTATTACACACATTTTTTGCTCGGCTATTCGAAGCAAAAAAGTTTCCTTGTCCCCAACAGATCCTAATTGATTTCCCCCCCTGACCATCTCCACAATTTTATGTTTATTGTTTTATTTTGTTGTATATGTTGTTGCAAAAACCAAAATTTGCTCTTTTTCTGTTGATTCATAAGGCTTTTAAGAGAATTTCTTTTATTTCTGCATAATTTTAACTAAAGCGTATTCAGCGTATTCGCGTAGCGTATTTCAACTGAGCCGCAGAGAGCTAATAATTTCTCCAGACTTCTTTGTGTTTTTCCAGCTTTTGCTACTTTTCCACCATGCACGATCATTTCGCATGTCACATCATTTATCATAACGCCCACATTATAGCGCGACACTGACTGAAGTCTTTTCAAGCCGAGCTGTCATTGCTGTTGTCAAATGATATTTTTCTTTTTGTTTATTTTCACATATCTAGCGTGTTGTTGTGTTGTTGTTTTGTTGTTTTATTGTTTTGTTGTTGCAATTTTCAACTTCTTATTTGTATTTATCAAATATGCGCGAACATGTCTGAGTGGTAGCGAACAACAACAACAACAATAACAACAACAAAAAATTACTGGCAAAATAACCAACGCTTTGAAGCCAAAATCAAAGCCATTGACGTTGGCCGCCGCCGTCGCCGCCGCCGCCGCCATTGTTGTTGACGCTGTAGTTGACGTCTTTCGATGACATGTGATGAATTTTCAATTACTAGTTTCTTATTTATAATGTATGTTACATATAAATATATATATGCATGTCGTTTTGTAACGCATATATTATTTATATAATGCATTTTGTAAGCGATTTTAAAAAAGGAAATGAGTTTGAGTTAAATTCTTGTCGTAATATGGCAAAAAAAGGCATTCTTAGCACCCCCAAACATTTTTTGCTATCCAAAATTTGCTTAACAATATAAAAATAGCACAAAACTATAAAAATTGTCTTCGTAATTGTATTAATTTTTCTAATTTCTCTGCCTCTACCCTTTTCAGAGGCGCGTATTTCGTCAAAAGAATTACCCACCGCGCGCTGGCGCCGTGAGCGTCGCGTACGCGCTGGTGAATACCCCACCTCCGCTGCTACTGCCGCCTCAACATCGAGCAGCCTCTCGCCCGCCGGCACACCACCACCACCACCTTCGCAGTCCGGTGTTTGTGTCGGCCTATCATCGCCAGTGAGCGCACATCAAGTACCGCCACCAATGTCTATGATGATGGCCGCTGCAATGCGTCCACTTTGCGAGTCGACAAATCGTCCCACGCCACCACCATCAAACTCCTCAGCAGCTGCAGCAGCAGCATATCATCAACAGCAAAGCGGCGGCATGGAGAGTCCCATTGATATGTCGGTAACATCATCATCGCTAAAGCATCGCTCGTCGCCGCCGCCACCGTATCGCGCCCCACTGCCCGGTTCCACATATGCCACAGCGTTGGCGCGTCCCAGTGTCATAACACAGGCGCCATCGAAACGAGAGCGTGAACGTGAGCGCGGTGAACGTGAAATGTTGGCGAATCGTGAGAATGACAATCGCAGCACGGGTAAGTGGTTTATTGACTTTCACAAATTATTTATAGCGTACTTGTGCTTATATGTATATATATATTTTTTTTTTTACAGAGTCCATTTCCACATGCGACACAGTTATTGATGAACACTTCCGTCGCTCGCTGGGTCCCAACTATGCTGTACTATTTGGCAAAAAGTCGCCTGGACACCATCCAACCACACCGTCGCCACAACCGAGCGCCATCGCCATGACTGCAACGGCTGGCATTAATACGCCAACACCAACGCCGCCACCACCAATGTCAACACAATTGGCCGCCTCCACAGCGCAGTTGCAGCCACAAGCACTCGTTGTAGCACATCCGGCAACACACAGCGCTTTGCCGCCCTATCACGCACCACAAGCGCTCATCTCACCAAAACCAGCATCAGTGCTACTCTCCTCGGCTGCCATATTCGCCGCCGCGGCCGCTGCTGCTGCTGGTCAGCAACCGCTCAATGCAGCAGAGTCATCTCTCTCGCCACGCGATCAAATGGAACATATGATGGCTGTAGATCTACCACCGCCACAGCAGCAGCCACTCGCTCTAGCCACTACGCAACGCTGCGCATCACCACAACCCACAACACCCAATGCCAATGTAGATGTTGGCGGTGGCGCTGCGGCAAAATCACCACCCATGTCACCAGCATGCGCCACATTACAATCATCAACACCACCACCACAACCACTAACATTCGGCTCGGACGGTACATTGCATAGCCAAGCATCTTCGGAAGCGCATTCAACCAGCCACTCACGTTCACCTATAGTTACGCCACTACAATCACCAAATTCTCATGCAGCTACAGCTACACTAACAACGCCAACACCAGCAATGGTATCTTCTTCTACACCACCAACTGCAGCAGCAGCAGCTGCAGCAATAACAACCACCACCACCACCACCGGCGGTCCGACCACGCCACCACCCATAATGCCGGCGATTATACGTATCAAAACCGAACCGGGCTTAGCGGCGGCTACCAATACACCACCCGCCTCACCAACATCCACCTCATCACCCTCTAGCATAACGGAAGTAACCGCCTCGGTGGATGATCATTTTGCCAAAGCTCTCGGTGATACCTGGAAGAAACTGCAGGAGAATAAGGAGGTGCGCAAGTGAAATATGGCAATGAGACGGAAGCGACGTAAACGGTTCGAGTGCATAAATGAAGAGTGAAGTGATGGTTAGGAGAAGGAAAGGTCAAAGAAAGATTATGGCTAGTGAGAAAAAAAATGTAGAAAGTTATAGGATGGAAAATATGAAAAAATTTGCAGTTTCCATGTGGAAAAAAATGTGAAGGCAAGCAAAAAGAAGTTTGAAAAAGAAAAAAATTAAAACTGTAAACTAAAGGCCGAGTTGCCAGAAAAAAAAACGGTTTAAAATGTAAAATTCAAATATTGTCAAGAACAACAAAAAGAATCACTACTACAAATATAAGTATGTATAGATAAAATATCTGAAATCAACGTAAAGTGTTTGAGGTTAGGTTGCTGTGAAAATTTGCGCATGAAAAGCTGAAAAGCTATTAATTAAATGCTACAATACTCTAGATGAAAAAATGTGCTTAAAAGGATCTACAACGGAATACAACAAGCTCAATTTGAAAAAAAAAGTGTTTTGCAATGTAATTGTAAAAAATATAAGATTTTTGAATTTAAAAATAGTAATTTTGAAAAATACTATATATGTTTGTAACTGAAGTATACAAAACATAACGCAAACATTTTAACACATTACTGAAAAGACTAAAAAATTTGTGTATACCATTACAAATATCTAAAAAAAAAAGATATACTAGGAATTATATAAAATATTTACTGAACGCTGAGCACCTTAAAGGACTTGTCAATGGATTAATTAAATTACGTTGCAGAATTTTTCACATTTCTTTTTAATACTTTGGTCGATTTATGAATATTTGGAATTTTCATATTTTTTACCCATATTTCCAGTATGTAGAAACAGTAAATTGATTTTTTTTTTTAATTTTTTATTAAGGGCTGGCATGATATTGATCTTGAAAAATTTTCAGCTAATTTAACCAAAATTCGAATTTTCTTATAAAAAAAAAATCCGTTAAAAAATTTAGTTTTCACATTTTTTTATTTTCTTTCATCCAATTTCATCATTTTGGATTATAGAATATTTTGGTCTAATCCAGCACACAAATTTTTTGAATAACATTTATTTCAGGTTCAGGTGATTGTGACGACTGCGATGCTATCAAATGGCGACAGTTTGCCATATCAGCCTGGCTTAAACGGTTGCCGACTTGTGCTTGATGAAGAGGGATATCCTCACGAACTTTGTAGAGATTTTTTTCTTATTTAATACCGAGTTACATATTTTTTTCCTTTCTCTTTGTATAAATTTTAAATTTCTACTACCAACAGCAGGTAGGCAGCTTTAAATCATTAAACTGCCACCAACTAACTACAGTGGCTTTTAAACTATCCTTTTTTCTTTCAACATTAGAAGGTACACCGTCGGTGGCGAAAATGTTAAGCTTTGACACGTTTAAAAAATATTGCTGTGTTCCAAAAGTCTGTAGTGTTGGAAAAGTGTTGTTTTTCACACTTTAATCCCATTTATAATATTAGATTAACAAAATATGTAAAGTAAATTAAAATCTGTATACAGTGATGGAAACAGTTCTATATTTTTCTTACAGTGGAATAATGCAAGTCTATTCCATCAAGAAAGTTAATATTAACTTTAGCAAATTTTGAAGTATTGTAAAGATTTCTACATACAAATTTATAAACAAAATTATTTCTTTGCGTACAAAATTACAGTAATAGCGAATATCTTAATAAACAAATGTTCTATTGGCTGGTCTAAGAGAATCTTAGAATTTCTCTATTTCTTAATATTTTTTTTTTAATTTAAAATCATATAAAATAAAAAAAAATTGTATGGTAAATAAAAAAAGTGTTTCTTAACCTTATGGTCCGCTGAAGATATTCTTCGCTTTAATATTCGACTTTTTAATAATTTATTTTCCATTTAAATGAACTTTTTCTTCTATTAATCATTACATTACTAATTTATATATTTATAAATAACATCAAAAATTATCAGCCCACAAACAAAACCATTTACTGCACAGAAAAATGGAAGAGAAAAATATCAAAATAGGCAAAAAGGGATTTCCCACAGATTTCGAAAAAAAATAGTAAAAAATATCGAAAAAATATATATGTAAAAAAATATTAAAATTCCAAATACATACACACATAAATTTATGTCAATTATGCACTACCAAATATGTAGTTATATTAAAAAAGGCAAAAATATAAACAAACATACAAATCAACTTATAGCAAATTTAATACATATTAACTATAAGAACATTTTTCTTCTCTCAAACAACAAAAGAAAAAAAAATAAAACTTCAAATCAAAACAGTAAATTAAAAAAAACATCAAAAATGTGAAAAAAATTTATATGAAGTATGTAAAAATAAAAGTAAAAAAACACACATGACAAAAATAATTAAATTAATAAATTAACTTTAAAATTTAACAAACAAAAAAAAACAAACATATTTACGTAAGCAAACTAAATATTAATTAATTAATCAAATATGTAATCAAAACTCTAATACATGCATATGTATATATAGTATATGTATATTTGAACAAGAAAATAAGTACATAATAACTGTTTAAAGATCTCATTGAATGAAACTTTTTGTGAACAATTTAATAAGCGCAGACTTTACGTAACTATTACTACTAATACTAACACACTAATCACTAATATGCATAATTACAACCAATAAGAAAAATTCATATTTACAACAATAAAAAAAGAAATCATGAAAAATCCATAAAAGAAATTACAATACATAGAATTTGTATGAATATGAAATGTACATACATACATATGCAAATTTAAAAAGTATACTCATTCAAAATGCATAATTTCTAATGTAATCAAATTGTATTGTAATTATTTTCTTTCTTCACATTTAGAGGAAAATTATGTATTTTTCAGAGATTAGTTTTAAGTACGCAAGAGTTGGGAAAGTTTGAATAAAACTTTTAAATAAAAGCATAAAATTTAAAAATTTTATATTTATATGAAAAAATTAATTATTATAAAACCAAACAAAAAAAAATTAAGAAGAAAAAGTTTGCATGCAGAAATTGTGAGTATTTAAAAAAAAAATATTTTTTCAAATTGTATATTTCAAAGCAAGCCAATCTTTTCAGTGAAGCTATAAACTTTCTTTTGCTTTTAGTTAATATTTTAATACTAAATGCAGTTAAATAATAATCAAGGAAAAATAGAATTTAAGCATACAATTATAAAAATATCGTTAGTAATAGAACTTCCAAATATGCTCCTACATATGTTCATATATGCTTATGTATACAAATTTATGAAGAAAAAAACACCATATGAACAAAAAAGAAATAAATAAAAATGTCTAAATAGTAGTTGTAGCCGTTTATATAAATAAATGCATTTGCATATGTATATGTATCTTCAAATTAAACATATTAAACGTATATGTATGTACATTTATTTTGGAAAAGTAAAAACTTTTTTGTAATATTTTTTTTTATGTAAAAAATATCTATAAAATTGCACATAATAAATAATAATTTTCATATATATTATTAATAACATGATCTACATACACGTAAATATGCATATTTGCATACATACATAAATACATAGTGTGTATGGTAATATATTATGTTTTTTTTTTATTAAACATTCGTATACTATAATTTTTAATTAGTAATAAGCGTTGGCCAATGTATTCCTATTATTTTGATAGAAATAAATAAAAAAAAAACAAAATTTAATTGCTTTATACAATAAAAATAAAAATTTAATATTTAAAAATATAAACATTTGAATTATTTATTTTGTATGTATTTTTTGTATTTTCATCAACACAGCAAGATTTTTTTCAGCTGCGCATGTACTCAAATTTAACTTTTTTAGTCGTGTATATATGTACATATATAAATATGTATATGCATATGTACACAGTAAGCTGTAGTTTACTATTTTAGTTAAATTCTTACAAGAAAGTAAGCTTACGTTGATAAAGCACAACACAGTTTCGAGGTTGTACTTATTAGATAATTTAGAATTTTTCAAAATTTAAAGCACCTCGAAATACCTCAAGCATTTGCGAAAATATAATTTTCACTTTTCACTTAAATAATATACACTTGGAAAAGTACATAAATTTTTAATTTAACCGATTTGCTTCTTGTTTTAGTGTTCAGTCACATTTGCATGAAAATGTCAAAATGTTGGTTTAACAGTTTGAGTACCATTGCAACTCAAACTGTCGTTATCTGCAATAGGGTGTTATGTTTTCTTTTCAATTTGCTATATTGTGTATGTAGCCGTATAATGTTGAGGCTAAACGTTACTACATAGTATGCTCTCTTTGATATACACTACCATACCGACATTTTGTGTAAATATTCAAAAAAATTTATAAAGACTGAAATTCAGTTTACATATGTATGTCTTCTTTCTTCTTAACGGGAATAATGTGAAATCGGACGCGTTCGGTTCTTATAAAACGGACATTTGAATACCAAAACCTTCAACTCTTTTAAGTTTGTTTAACACAAATTTTATTAGTCGCTTTATGTAAAGGGTTTCGTGCTTACAGACATGGAGCATGTAGGCTTTCACATGATTTAATTTGTATAGAAAGTGGTTTAGATGAGGTGACGTGAAGCAAATTGCTGTTTAATAAAGAACGCAAATGCGATTTGATTTTTTTTTTGGAAAACCGACTGAGCTTATGGCTCGCATTTGAGCAAAGATACTTTTCAAGTAAAATAAGGGATACACGGAAGATTTTCTCCTTTATTCAGTACGTTCCAAGGATATAATACCAACTAGGATCACTATCTTGTAGCAGTGAAGGGCATCCAAGAGCAGCAGAAATGTGCACAACAGACAGCCAAACGTTATTCTACTCGACTCACTCGATGGTGGAAAAGATGTCCAAGCTTGCCCGGATTGTACTTGAAAATCTGCCCGACAGGTGACTTAAAGAGGTCTCGAAACCGTATTGTATTCATGTAAGAAGTAATAAGGTAATTTGACGACCATTATCCAGGTCTGAGTTTTTGAAGACTATGAGGAGGTTCTTCGAATAATAATAGCCTGCTTAAAAACTAACACACTTGACCTGATGGCGACAAAGGTCAAAGTGCATCAACGTCTTTACAGAATATGGTCGTACAAAAGCATAGCCGGACGATTGTCATCAACAATCACAACAACAACAGCAACAATATTATCATCTAAGTTCGCCCTACTCAATCCATAGGAAAGTGGAACCCACAATCAATGCTAATTAATCATCCAAGGAGGATTAGTGTAGGTTTTTTTCATTGGAGCAAATTTTATGTATTGGATCCCAAACCGGAGAGCGTGCGCCTTCTCAAAATAGCACGCCAGCAAGCATGCATCAGCGTCTTTACTTAGCAGAAAAGAGACTACTTCGTCGCGACTAAGAACGTATATAATATACGTTTTTTGGTCGTGAGTTACTTGATCCCGATGTAAAATAATAATCATTGGTAATCAAAAAGCATAATTCAGATAAATAAATTTGATTTTTTTTATTAAATGGAAGAGTATACAAACTCTATAAATATACTACTATGTGTAGGTTGTTGTTGTTGTTGTAACCGCAAAATTATTTCCCAAAGTAATTTTTGGGGAATATTGCGGGAGTGACAGTCCTTGGCCGGATAAAAATCCGGGTCGTTCCGGTATAAAGACCCGACTGTCGCGGGCACTATTGGATTTTAGTCGCCTCTTACGACAGGCATGCCTTACCGCGGGTAAATTCTTGTGCCCCTAACCCGCAGGGGCTACTATGTGTAGGTAGTTGTATCTGATGGGTAGGCAGACAATATTGGGCATGTGAGAAGTTGGTATTGACAGCTTCGAGGAATTCGGATTATTATACATGTAATTCTCCTCCTTTCATCAACTTAGCTCAATATTTCTGTGATGTAACAAAATTATTCTAGTTAGAGATAAAAATCCCCGCTTAAACGCATATGTCTAAACAACCAACACAGTGGCTTCAATGCTTAGTTTAAAAGTATAGTGTAAATGCAATATTAGCTTACAAAATAATTGCAACATAACACACACTGAATATGCTGCATGATATTAAATGTACTCGTTCTTTTAGAACTGTCATCTTCGAACGAGAAAAACACCTGCGGCGAATTCGTATACACACTGTCACCATGCGATTTCACTCTTACATACGCCTTTCACGTGTGGTAATCAAAAATGTTATTATTGCAATATGCCTGCCATCTCTATCACACCCATAATCATCAGTATTCGCTCGTTATAATAGCAAACGGCCAAAACGAGCTAGACTAGTTTGTAAAGCGATTTCGGTCGTATTTCCATCGTTGTCGTTTTCTCCATAATTGCGTTATTTTTTCGCAATTCGAGAGATTGTGTACACTAGTGTAAAGTGTACAGAGTGACAATTCAATGGATTGTTTATTGTGAATGAGTAAAATCGTGCACATACAAGCAAAGCATAATAGAGATTTTTATATGAAAAATATTTGTAGACGAAAATTGTTCGGCGTTTCCCACACAAGTACCCTACAGTAGCAGTCGCAACCGCAAATTTCGTCCCCTCAAGCGTCTCGCGTAGCACTTCGTGCATTTGCCAGTACATAGCGTTATTTCACTCTCTCGTGTACGTTTGAATGATATGACTTAAACAACTATTCACATTTTCAGTGTCACAAACTTTATAGTGCACTCATTCCGACGCGCAGTCACAGTAGTAGGTTTGTGATTTTCTCTTTTCTTGGGCTCTGCTTAGTATAAGAGTGTGCCTGAACGTAAGAAATACATAGACATAACGAACAAACAATTCGGTGTGTGAATTGGTCATCTGTTTATTTGTTTTCATTTTCATAAACAGTAACGTGAATAGAACAGTGAATCCTATCGTAAAGGAATCGTCATTCATAATTGGTGTGAGCGAGTTGGACTGTGTAAAGAAATTTCATTTGCGGTACATTGTGACCAATGGAACAATATATTTGAATATAAAACCAGAGACGTTACTCAGATATGAGTATTAAAAAAGACTTGCAAAACTTTAAGTAATTGAAAGAATTCTCAACAACTATTGGTATAAACTGAAAAAGAAAATGAATGGTAAGTACAATGAAAATGTTTTTCGACAATGATACAATAAAATACTAATATGGTTACAATAGTAATATGTATGTGCAAAGTTAAACAGCAACTTTGGCCAAAAGTGTTTTCAAAAAGTCTACAGATATTGAATCTTTATCTTTAAAACACAATATTTACTCTGCACTGTGATTCAAGTTAACAGGTGTTTTTATGCATAAGCTATTACCTAAACCAAAACACCACAATAAAAGCATTGCGAGTGGTGTTTAATGAGACATTTTTTGTTTGAAAAGAATTCTAATGCAAAAATTTCTTAGCTAAAAGGGTTTACTAAATCAATCAACTTCACATACTTTTTTAAAAAAAAATGTATGTCTTACTATATACCACTTAAAAGGGTTGTTTGTTGTTTTATTGTAACTGTGGATCCACATCATCGTTTTGAGGATTTTTGTGGGAGTTTAAAGTCTCGTTGTCTCTCAACCTACGATAAAATGTTAAAGCAAATCGCCATTTCCTGGACTTACAATCCGCTGTGAGTAAGGCGCAATCAAATATCAAAGAGAAAAATTTTCGTTAATCTCTTCTAAAAATGCTTGATAAAAAGGTACAATCGTGTCTTTCCGCCCTTAAGGTTGGGGCTTTCAAATAAGCGTTTTTGAAATTTATATTGTATTGTATTTCACAGAAGAAGATGAAAAAGCAATATTATATTTCATCTTTATGTTCCAGGTATTCTTAATTTTTTTTTTGTACACACGGTTTTTTAAGACAACCAATTAATTTTTTTATTTTATTTTTTTTTTCTTCATTGCATTTGTTTCAATTGCGGGAAATATATGATTTCTTGTTATCTAGCATAATTAGCTGAGCTCGTCCTATATATGGTGAATTTCTTCGAGATGAAAAACCTCGGACACAATTTTTAATTAACATTTGCGCCTTCTATTATATTAACATTCACTTGTCTGCTGTTAACAAACACTAAACTTGCATCCGCAGCCAACGTTCTGCTAACGAACTCTACAGAGCAAAATATGCTGCGACGCGCTGCATTAAACTATTCGTTGGCTCAGTCGCAATTTCGCTCTCAAGTTATCAAATCGCTTTGGATATCAAGTAGTCAGTCTGTCAACGAAGAAAAACAGTAATAAAGAGAGCTGTCAAAAAACAGCAGTCAATGTTGGTTGCACAAAATAATAGGAGAATAAAGTGAAATTCACTCACTCAGAAGATACTACGTGAAAGCAGAATGCCAAGTAGAAGTCTACGATTTGCATTTTTTTTGTTTGATAAACAATTTTATAGTGCGCGAAAACTATTTTAGCAAAACAATAACTACATCTGAAGAAGAAGTGAAGAGAGGAGAACACATTTTTTTGGCTTATTAAGTATAACAACGAGAAGATGAAAAATTTTGAAAAAAAGTAGACAACAATAATGGAGGTGTTAACACGAATGCGACACGGAAACCACGACAAGGTAGGGACACATAAAGATCCTATTGTTTAATAAAGACTTGAACAGAATTACCTGCCTGCCTAGAAAAATATCAGCTGTTTTGCTTAAAGAATGTAGTGTGTATTGAATCGTCTGATTTTTATAGTTGAGAAACTAAATAGTTGGACAAATAAACAACTGCAGCGACAGTGAGAGAAAAAATGATGAAAGCAGCATGGTATGTTGACAGGACATGAGATTGATTGAAGTTTATGAATTGTAATGCTGCCACCTAATTTGATGTAGTTATTTGGTATATATATGAGCAATTATTTATATCATAAAACGGTTTTATTTATTATTTAGTATTTGTTGAAGTATCTAAAACATATCATATCCATATGTTTCTTGAATTAGCAGTTATGTGAATTGAGTTTAGTTAAGTTGATGTGTCGGCCGGCTTGGTGGCAGTACACTTAAGCCTTATTTTAACAGCATCAAATGCTCATATTTTTTGCCGTATAAAAATCAGGGCCGTTACAAAATAAAGACTCAACTCTGAATATCTATGGTGAAAATTTTTCAACCCTCACGCCCGAAGAGACCTCAAATAACAAAACTATTTTCAAACAAACCTAATATCAATAAAAACCAAAAACCAAAAATTTCGAATTGTTAGTTATCACTGCTAGCTGTAACTGCTCTATTTCCCTTGATTATAAAAATCAATTATTTATTATTTAGTTAATTTGTAGTTTATATCGGAGTAATCGGAATCTAATGATTCCTATTAAACTTCTAAAAAAAAAATTATTTGTTAATTTAAAAGTAATAATTTAGTGGCAACGCCACTTGTTTCGTTAATGTTAAGTGAGAGCGAAGAAAAGAAGAAACGAACAGCAGACGTAAAAGATAAATCATGAAAATCGTGTCAAATGCAAACATTGCAAAACTTATTTCACATTTTCGTAAAGAAAAATCTCGTTAAAAGAACTATTTTCAAATAAAACTAAATTGGACTGATGTTAAAATAATACTTGTGTAAAGTGTTTCTGATGATTGTTTGAATTAAGGTTATTGTTAACAAAATTTTGTTTGTTGGGTGGGTGAGATGTGTAATAGAGTTGTGCTAGACCTCATTTTCATTCATAACTTATTTACTATAAATATTGAAATGTTAAATGTATTAAATGAAAACAAAATTTTCTTTGAATAGGAATCCATAAAAGAAAATATAAACTGGAAAATTCTGTTTTCCTCGTAATGAGTACTGTGTGCACAAAAATGCGTGTGTATGTGTGCAGCAAACAAGCGAAACAAAAAATTATGCAAAGAAATTTTGTAACATTTTTGCAGTTTTTTTCTGTCTATTAAATAAAATTATAATAAATTTCCCAAAGTCTTTAAAAATATATTAATAGACATATTATAATTATGTTTTTCAAGCTAATATAATTTTATACTATGCTTTTACATATATATGTATAACATTTTTCTATTCCATTTTCAGATTTCATTAACAAATTGATGAGCAAAACAAACCAAGAAACGCAAAGAAAACGGTTAACAAGCAATTAATGTAAAAAAACGGAAAGCAGTAGTTATAGTATAATAAAAAAAAGGAATTGTATAAAACCTCACCTCACGAAAGCATTGCGTACAAGGAACTTCAAAGAAGTTGATGTACAAGAAAAAACTTGCGAAAAGCACTTAAGAACGTGTATAAGGAAATAAGCTGTGGAGCACTACTTAACTCCCGGCTCAGGTAACACCTTCAATAAGGTTATATAGAAAAGACAACTACAATGAAAACGTCATACCTCTATTAAAAACAAAATTATAAATATTAAACTAATCAAAGGCTACGTACATATGTATTTAAAAGACTAAAATTATAAAAGGTTAGTAAAACAAAAGAGGCGGAAAGTGTGAGAGCTACATAGAGGCGATCCGACGACGTAAAGTGCTACCCACCCACCATTAGTTGTTAGCATTAGTAAAGCAAGACAAATATCAGCTATTTAAAAAGATATTAGCAAAGAAAGGCAATAAAAATAATATATGTTATCCATCATTCATACTTATCACTATGCCAGTACTACCTAAAGGGGCAGCTAAGCAAAAAACTTTGAATACAAGTTTAATTTTTACATTCAGTTTCTTTTTCAAAACTTAACTGCTTAAAAAAATAAAACAATTAAACTAAACTCAGTAAAAAAAATCTGCAGACTCAAAAAAGAAAACTTGAAATCGTTTTGATTGCGCCATTAAAGTAAAAACTTGTAGAATTTTGTGATTTAATACAACAAATTTAAAAAAAAAAAAAAAACATAATATATAATAAAGTCGCAACACAATAGCATTCCTATCGATTGAAGAAAATCTACTTATGAAGAAAAATTAGAACGGAGAGAACGTGAGGTAGTCATAAAATATATACATAACTTATGTTGCCGACTCTGAAATAGTGTGTTAAATTGTTGAGAATTTACCCGACGATACTTAATGCACAATTCGACGGAAGAACTGAATTTGATTTGAATGTCGTCGGTGATTAGACTCTATTGCAGTAGGAAGGATTCACAGGCACCATGCAAAGCTTGGATTCATCATGTCAAGAAGCCGACGTAAGTACCAAGACCAAAAATTTTCCTTTAATATTTGCGTTTCATAATCGTATTAATTATATTACAATTTTTATTATTACAGTTTATAATAAATGATACGCTTAAAAAGCTTAAAGGCTCCAGCACAAGCATTAATAGCAATAGTAATTCGGCAAACGCAGCTTTGTCGTCGTTAAACTCGAGCGGCAGTGGCAGCGGCGGCAGCAGCATACTGAGGCATCAACATCCGCATCAACAACTTATCTATCAACATCAGCACCCGCCTATTACTCAACAACAAACCAAGCAACAGCCACAATACTCACACTATCAACATTTACAGACTGCACTACAGTGCCCGACACCACCTCAACAACCACAACAATTATCTACACCGCCGCCGCCCCCAACACCACTGAGTAGCGTAACTTTTTCTACGAAAAGTTCATTGCTTGACTCCAGCCTGCTACATTGTAACATCACACAGATTCCCAGCCAACCGCCATATTGTATATTCGATGATGGCACTGAATCGCCAAGTGAAGTTCCGCCAGCTGAAATACTCGCAACAAGCAGTAGTAGCAGTAGTGTTGGTGGTGGCATCAGCAATACAGGTGGTTTGGATGGTATTCCATTGCTTGCCGAATCAGCGACGGCAACAAAAACGCACGGATCTGGCACATCTGCAGCGCCATCACCATCATCATGCTCATCATCTACAAATCTTTCCAATTTTAATTCAATCACTTCACCATCGCCGGTAGTGCCCGATTTATTGCTGTCAACACCACCAGGCGTAAATTCTTCATCATCACTCGGCAATGATACAGCTGCTAATATCGGTTATGGTAGCCTGGGAACAAGTGCATTTTTAACATCTTTAACGCAGTCATCACAATTCTCCGCATCAACAGCAACGCATCAAAGCAACAATAATAATATTACAATAACCAGTAATACCAATAATAACAAAAAGGCTGATAAACGTCCTTCCGCATCCTTAAGTACTCAACAACAACAACAGCACAGTAATCATTCACATCATCACCAGCACCATTACCAACAATCATCTGCGCATCATCATCATCATCCACCACAACATTTACTAAGTGCATCTTCGCCATTGGCCAACGCGGTTACATCGTCATCATCACCCACCTCTTCGCCAAGTAAAAGGCAAAAAATCTCAAAAGATGCAGCAAACCGGTCGTCACCATCAACTTCATCGGCCCGTTTGTCGACCATCAAACGTGACAGTAGTGCATCTGGGATAGGTGGAAGCACAACAACAACAACATCTTCTGGTGGAAATAGTGCAACATCGTCATCGGGGTCAAATAAATTTTTTAACATCCATGATAAGATTCGTGAAACTTATCTACAATTGTTAGCGAATGATTTAAATTCATTTTCAGAAACTGGGGTAAGTACAATATTTTTCAAATATCAATTCACACACTAGAATTATTATCAAACAATTGAATTAACCAGCATAAAGTAGAGAGAGCCAATGGAATGTGTTTTCATATCTATATTTAACTTTATCTTCCATTTTTCAGCTCAAACAGCGTTCACGTGCTTTCGTTCTCGAACGTTTGGTGGAAAGTGAGAAATTAAATACAATCGTTGTTAACCTATACCCGGGTAATAAAGGATACTCATTAGCGTTACACTACGATGATCGGCAGTTGTTGACGTCCAATGGTGAACTATTGCATGGGAATGATGGTTCCGGCATAGGGTCGGGCATAAGCGGTACTGAGAGCTTACTAGTTGGCATGAGCAGCAGCTCTTCAGCTACCACCACTTATAGAGGTGCTTCTAGTCGCAACACAGCCAGCAGTGGTGGTAGTAGTAGTAGTAGTAAAATGAGTTTAGCCTCGATGCTACCAGATTTCAAAGGCGGTAATGAACTCGAAAATACTTCTGAATTAAAACTTAGAGCTACAGGTAGACAACAGGCTGATGATAATAGCCTACAACAGCATGAATACGCTTTGATGGAGGTGTTGCGTTGGCCCTACGAGAACGATCAGTTACTGCAGTGTATAGATCGCGAAATAATACCGGACTTCTTAATAGACATGCTGAATGCGCCTAGCCTGACATTGAATGCTTCTCATGACGACAGCGAGCCAGCACGTACCTACGCCAAACCGAATGTTTTTTACGCCGGCTGTGTGATTGCGCAAATACGCGATTTTCGACAAACATTCGCTATTTCGACGAATATCTGTGATACGAAACACGTCCTGCTACGACCCACAAACGCCACCATCTTTTCAGATGTACAGCATTTAGCAAGCACAACGAATTTGAGTGTAATTCCAACGATACCCTCGTCCTTGGGCGCGGCGTTATGTGGGGCAGAGGATAAATTACAATTGGAAAGTCAGTTAGTTTTGGCTACCGCCGAACCATTATGTCTAGATCCTGATCCAAATATTGGTCGTTTTGCCATTAATGCTCAGAATGCCCGGCAACTCTTCAACACACACGAGATGCGGCGCCAAATGAAAAAGTACACACAAATTTCAATAAATCGTAAACGGAAATTGGATCAGTTTACACATCATTATGGGCTGGAATTATGTGACTATTTAACACGTTTACGAGCTAGACCACGTACGAGTAGCAATGCAAATACAAATGCTGCAGGAACGACTACCGCGCCCAGCAGTAATCCATTAGTGAGTGCAATGCTCACCTCATTCTCGTCGAAAGTGCCACGTCGACCGCGTGACGTCATACGACCTATACGGCCGCCGCGTCTAGAGTATCCGGCGAATCTTAAGGTGCCCGAGCAACTAATTGGTGTGGAGAAATATGCCAAGACATATGAGCGGCCACGCGAAACCACTGACTGCCAGCCACAGCTGATCGAAGAATATGTGTTGGAGACTGAACGTGAGGAAAATGCTGGGAGACGTGTGATATATCACATAAAACTTTCCATTTTCCAACGACCCTCAAATTCTGAGTACCTGGGTGAGCTATATGTTGATCGTGATTATCGTGAGGGTGAGCGTAACGGTGAGTCGTGTCGGTTTTCATTGGGCACACGCATACATGCAAATCGCTACATACAGCAATTCACCGAAATTTTCACCGAAGAAGGACGAAAGGCAGTTAAAATTACGCATTTGATGCCCGGACATTTGCCGAAGGTTACACATACGGGTATAACGCCGGAACAGCGACAAGCGTTGTTGTTGCAGCAGCGGCAAGTGGTGTTAGCACAACAACAGCAGCAGCAGCAGCAACAACAACAGCAGCAGCAGCATGCACAACATGCTGCAACTGCGACGGCAGTAAATGCACCACATATAACAGTCGCAACAGCTGCAAGCGGTGGTCAACAGCCGCAGCAACAGCAACACGTTGTTCTTGTCGGACCGAATGGTCAACAACAACACATATTACCCGCCACGGTACAACATATAAGTGCCGTCGGTTTGCAGCAGCAAGTCGCACAGTCTGTTTGTGCTGTTCAACAGCAGCAGCAACAACAACAACAACAGCAACAGCAGATTGCTATAACCCCAGCCGGTAGTAATTTGCCTAAGAACATTAACATTGTTGGTTTAACTGCCAGTAATGCGGCCGCCGTACAGCAAGTACTGCGTCAACAACATTTGCAGCAACAACAACAGCAACAGCAGCACCAACAACAACAACAACAAATTACAACACAATTTATAGACGCAAATGGTGCGACGATGCATGTGCAAACGAGCAGCGGTGGTGGCGGTACAGGTATCGTACATACGCAGCAGCAGCAACAACAACAACAGCAGCAGCAGCAAACAACACAACACATCCAACTGCATGCGGTCGGTGGTGGCGCTGGTGGTGGTGTTGGCAATACCCATACAACACAGCTTAGCCTTAGCAATGGCTCATTGGTATTGGTGCAACAACATCCTATCACACAGTCACAACAACAACAACAGCAGCAAACACTGCAACATGCCGGCATCACCATACAGCCCGCTAATGTGCAGCAGCAGCAGCAACAACAACAAAAGACTCAGGTTATAACAGCGGCTCAATTGAGTGCCGTTGGCGCAAATTCGGCTTTGCGCACACAACTCAGTTCCAGCGTGCCAATATTGGTTAGTGTTGCGATGGCCAAATTAATTTATGTATAAAAATATAAATTTATTTGCAGAAAACTTTTTATTTTTATGTTCATAATTAATGTTTGTAATCAATTTAATTATTTTTAATAATTTAAACATAATTTTTCTTTTGTTTTTTACAGCAAGCGCAGCTTAAAGCCGCGCCATTACTCACAGCACAGCAGCAGCAGCAACTTTTGCATAAAACTGCACAGCAACAACAGCAACAGAGTACTGCCAGTAGCAACAACAGTAGCAATTCGACTACTACATTACACACTAATCCCGAGATAAATGCAATTTTCACCAATATTATGAATAGTGCAAACCAATTCCAACAACAAAAGCAACAACAACAACAGCAGCAGCAACAATTGCAGCAAAATTGTAAGCAAAACCCAAATGCTTGCTGCTTTTATTTGTGCTTGCAAATGTTTTATTTTCTCTCTTAATACCTTTTATGTCATTTATAGCCAATAACAGCGTCGGCGGTAGCAATAGCAATGTGAAAAATAGTAGCAATGCTTCCATACGCAGCTTATTGAATAGTGCACCGGCCGCCATGACGAGTACGCCCGTTGCCAGCGGTACATTTACCACATCTACCGGTCAACATCAGACCGTCACGCTGGTACAACATACACCTTCGACGTCTCAACAACAACAAACGATTGTTAGTGGTGATAGTTTTGTTCAGGTAACGACACAACCAACCACAACGACCGTGCATCAACGTAAACCGACCAACAACGAGGTATTGCAGAATCTCCTGACCACAAATCGTAAATTTAATATCGTCACCAGCGGTGGCAATATTGTGACTGCCAGTAGTGGTGGCACAACTTTCCGCACTGCCGCCGGCAATTTGGTTGCAGTCAATTTGAATCAAGCCGCACAGCATCAAAATCAAACAGACGGCCAGTCGTCGGTGCAACAACAAACGACCGGCACGCAAGCGCAACAGACACATCAGACGGTGCGTGTTTCGATGTCTGCGCTCGCCTCTCAATTAGCCTCACCGCCAGCAATCATGACAAATCCGAATACGGCAAATTTTGGTTACACCGTAAATACGCTTGGAGCTAGTGGTACAGTGAATGCGGTAAGCAGTTCATCGGGTGGTAGCATAAAAATACTCAATAGCGGCGTCCAGCAATCACGCATGGCGCTGGCGAATGCTTTACGACGGGATTCGAGCAATTCTGGACCGCCGCCAAATGCCATAGTTGTGGGTGTGGCGGCGCCATCACCAGGCAGCGATTCTAATGCCTCAAATGCCAGTGGCTTTGCTGTGCCACAGCCAACAAGCGCTACCAACTCAGTTGGTACGGCGACCAGTTTAACACTGTTGGGTGCGGCAACACCATCACCATCCGGTTCTGATCATTCACAATCGTCACAAACGCAAAATCAAGCATTGCTTGAACGCCTCCATAGTAGTACTGCAGCTGTTGCGACGGCGATACCAAATATGTCACCACAACAACAACAGCAAACACACGCTCATACACAATATTTGGCGAAAACTTTAGTACAATCGCCATCTGCTGCCACATCCATACACTCACCCATGTCTAGTCCACATCCACAGCCATCGCCATCGCCGCATCATCATCAACAGCAGCAGCAGCAACAACAACAACAGCAACAATCAACTGCCTCCAACACCACCACCACAACATTAAATTTACAAGGTATTAATCTGTTACAAGGCGCCATAGCTAATTTTCCTGGTCTGCAAAATGTACAAGTGCAGATACCGGGCTTGGCGCAACCACTCTCATTGCAATTGCCATCCGCTGTGCAGCAGCAGCAACAACAACATCAACAACAAACACAAACGAATACAGCCACTGTGTCGTGTGTAGTTAGCGGTGGTGGTGGTGGTGGTGGTGTTGGCGGTGTTAGCGGTGGCTCTACTTCATCAGTTAACAGTATTGTTACTGGTGGTATTGGTGGTCAACAGCAACATCTGCAACAACGCAGCTTATTGGTATCAGTTCCTGTCTCAACACACAGCCAACAGCATCAACAAACGAGCCAACAACCGCATACAATAACACTACAGGCAACAACCGGTACACAGCAAACGCAAAATCATGTACAACATGGTGTTCCGCCTACCGGTACCATTGTGAATCTACCAAGTGGCGGTACGGCGACAACTGCCGGCACTCAAACTGTGGTGCTCACGAATACAGCTACCGGTGGCGGGGGTGGCGGTGTTGGTAATGTTGGAAGCTCAGCGGGTAGTGGCGGTACAACAACGATGTTAACATTGCCAATTGGTAAGTTTCATTTTTTCTTTTCCTTTTTTTTTAACACATATTAGTATTTCTGAAAATTTAATTTTAAATCCAATATAGTATTAGAGAAAAATTATTCAAAATTCATTAAGACTGTCTTGTTAGCTAGTTTTGCTTATTATACAAAAAATAATACAAATCGATTCAAATTTTATGGTCAGTAATTTTCTACAATAGCAACAATGTGTCGTAAAACGAAAAAGTCACCCATGAAGGACAGTATTTTACTATTGAATGAAGCACCTTAGGCTCCAAAGCCATTTTTATACCTTCCATGGACATGAACACGGGCATGAAATTATACATATTAAGCATATCAATGAGAAGAGATGGTCACAAGAAAATGTATCATTCAACTAAATCGTTCAGATAAGAGTTTTTATGTAAAAAAAAAAAATTAGACAAAACGCTCCTAAGAGTGTGAAATTTAGTATACTCTACAAGAATGTAATAAATATTGTCATAGAAATCGAATTTAAATTTGATAAGTTCATGAAAGGTATAAATACTCCGGCAGCACTTTTTCTTGTTTAAGTTTTAAAAAATGTAAAGAGTTTTTTCAAAAAGAGATGTTATTTTGAATATGATGTCACTTTTGAAACTGTAATTTTTTGACATTTGAAAAGTAAAAACTACGCCAGTAATAAAAGTGGAACGATACACGTTTCTACAAAACGCATTGTCATTGTATAAAAATGGTGAAAACCTGGCAGAGACGATTCGTAAAACTAGAACATTTTACGGTTGTCGTGAAACACCTTGTCGGAACGCAATACAGAAATTTGGGGGGGCAAAAATCGAGCTGTTGGTGGGACGTGATGTGAGGAATAAAACACATGCACGTTGCTCTAGAACAATTGAGAATTTTACTGCTGTAGCTCAAAGTACTAAAGAAAACCCAGGCTTGTGCATTCCTCGCCTTGTCTTTGGCTAATTGGGCTCTTGAAATTCATGAAAATGATCCGGAATTTCATCGATAATCATCTTGACTGATGAGGGTCATTTCCACATCGGATGGCTATGTCCAAAGTGAAGAATATCGCAACTGGAACTCAGAAAACTCAAGATTTATTGTTCAAAAGTCACTTCATCCTCAGCATGTTAACTGTTTGGTGTAGTTTATGGTTCGGCGTGGTCATTGGATCTTACTCTTTCGCAAATGGGGCTGATGCGGTAGTTACGGTGAATAGATCACGCTGTCGAGAAATGATAAATGCTCTTTTATAGCCTGAATGAGATGATAATGATCTGTATGACGTTTACTTTCAACAAAGCGGCACCACGTGCCACACAAGCAACGAAAACAACGATCTTTAAAGGGAAAAGTTTCCGGACCGTGCTATTTCTCGAAGAGTTGATTACAATTGGCTATCGACTTTTTTTCTTTGCGGCCACGTGAAAGAAAAGGTCTACGCCAACTGGCGAACGTTGTTTCAAGACCCCAAAGATGGAATTCGTGAAGCTATTGAGTTGAGGGCCTATAGCAGCCACTTGGCATTTTGGTGATGGAAAATTTCATAAAATGTATACGATCCTGTTTTCCATGATTAATGGCATCTTCCATTTTATATTGAAATAACCAATGATCGTTTATATCCGAAAATGTCATTTTTTTCGAATATTAAAATAACATCCCTTTTTGGAAAACCCTGTATTCATAGTTATCTTTAGTATTAGTTGCTCATATTTTTTATATTTTGCCACTTCTCGTATCTTTCAACGGAAACGTTTCCAACAATTAAAATCTTATAAAATATAAATGTAGCATTTTTAAAACTACCGTTATTACACTAATTCTCTTTTCTTTTCGCATTTTTATTGCTTACGTACGAAAACTACCCAATCCCATCCTGCCAACATATTTCTATTCAACCTACATTTTACATATTGGCACGTACATTTGTATATATGTTAATGATGTGGTTACCACTTTCGCACATATTCATTGCTTGTTACAAAAAAAAAAAAAAAAAAATTACCTTCGCTCACTTAAAAAATATAGTATAACCTATCCTACAACTTATATATATATGTATGTATAGGAAGTTAAGAAAAGCTGCGCTACCCAAACATTTTTACTATATAAAAATTTGTAAATATATAAGCCAACAATATGTTTCCCCTCACTTGTAAACTATGTGAAGCATTAAAAACATAACCTCACAAAATATTAGACCATCCTCTGTTCATATACCTTGTTCATTCTACCACAACTCCGCCCTACATTTTTCCTAATATTATTATTATTATTTTATTATTTTTACTATTTAACCTATATATGTATGTATGTAATTAAAAGAAAATTCCAAATTTCATTACTAACCATTATTTTGAAATTTTTAACATAACAAAAAAAAAAAAAATATTTATGAATAACAACCTAGCGTGTTCAATCGAATCAATCGTATCAGCCAATTCATTTTAACCAATAATCAATCAACAAAAATCAAAACAACAACCCGCGTACTTCCCCTTTCAATTCCAGCTCAGCTTGTTGGTCCCGGTGTACAAAAACTCAATCCTCAAACAATCCGTACCTCAAGTGGTGGTGGTGGTGTTGCAGGTGGCAGCATTGTTCTTCAACAACAGCAGCAACAGCAGCAACAACAACAGCAGCAGCAGCAGCAGGGGCATCAAACGCAACAACAAACTACAACGACAATAAATGTGAGTGGGGTTGCTGCTGGTAGCGGTGGCACTGGCGGTGGTGGCGGCGGCGGCGGCGGCATCAATACTGGCCAACAGACGGCAATTCAATTGGTCGGCACAATACAGCAGCGGCCGCGCAATATAGTTGTCGGTACAAAGCAATTGAGCGGCGCACAACGGCAATTGATAGCAACACAACGGAATATTGGTGGATCCACATTGAAGATTGCCACAACGCCAATTAATGGTAAGACAAATTTTGTAAGACCCCTAAAGGTGGTGGCAAAATACATACATATCGTTTATATCATACATTTATTGGGAGTACAAATTAGTTTTTTTTTGTATTCAAACAAAAAAAGTAAAAATAGAAAAACATCATTCAAAGTCTTGTCCATCGACAATGACTACGTTTTCCCACCTCTCTGGTAAAATTTCGAAACCGTCTCTGAGTCTACTCTGTCCTCGATCCAATCATTAAGCCCTTCTTCGAATTCTTCAAAAGACCCGAACCGTTGACACGCCGTAGAAAAAGGTATTCCGAAGGAGCAAGGCGAACACAGCAACATTTCTAGGTAGTTTTTGCCCGTACAGCCACGTGGAGTCGAGCGTGGTCATGTTTCTAGCTGTTTTTCACACAAAGCACGGCTCAAACTCATTCATTATAAGATTTTCATTAATTTTAAATATTTTCGGCTTGTTAGCACGCTCTTCGTCTTCGACATTAAAATCATAACTTTTGAAGTGTCGAGACCACTCTCTGCTTGACTTATAGGTCGGCGTAGTTTCAACTTAACCGTCAACAGCATTCTATGGGCTTAGGTTGTTTATTTAGCGCAAATCAGAAATAAAAATATTGTTATCTGATGCACACTAATTATTGTTGACAGACGTGACAACGTAATTTTTGCGAATTATGCGATGGTGGCACGAAACGCCGTCGTCTACACATCGTCCATGTCATTCTCTTCAACTTTTAACGATCGACATTAATTATAAAATCACTAAATAGAAAAAGAGTGGATTGCGTTTCTTGAATATTCGGCCAGAAATTCGTTTTAAATGGCTGCCTTGTGAAATGTTGGCTAATCGTGGTGCAGAATTCATGTTTTCATGTTTCCACAAATGTGTCTCTTTCTACCAAATCGCTCTGCCAAATGCCTCTATAGTTCATTTTGAGTTTTGGCCTGTTGCACACTTAGGTTCTCCAACCGCATGACGCTCTGTTAATGATCTTTATTTATCGTCTGATCTTCTGGCAAAATTTTTGAGTGCACAACACTCATTCAACTAAATCTCCACGGTCAAACAACCCCGATCCCCACACATATGTCGAGTCCATTTTTCGTGTGGTGGCTATTTAGTACCTCCTAGTACCGCACGCTCTATATTCTGTGTTTCAAACCACAGTAAACCGAGCTACGAATGACCATTCGAGACAAACCAAGCTTTTACAATTTTACTGCAACGCACTCTAGGGATCGAAAGATACCATTCTGGTAAGTCAGAGCATAGCGTAGGCGATGTCGTATACTAAATATATAATATACACATTTTGTTCGTTACTTGTCCTCCAATAGGATACCGCTGTGTTTGGTTCTAAACGACTTTAACGTCCATCGTGGCCTTTGACAAATAACCGTATAACCCTGCGGGTTAGGGGTTCAAGAATTTACCCGCGGTAAGGCATGCCTGTCGTAAGAGGCGACTAAAATCCAAGAGTTCCCGCGACAGTTTGGTCTTTATACCGGAATGACCCGGATATTTTATCCGGCCAAGAACTTACACGCCCGCAACATTCCCCAAAAATTACAACAACAACAACAAATAACCGTAAAAGAATGGAGCTTGCGAGACAGATAGACGATTTGACGGTGTACATCATTTGGTCATAATTGTCTCGCTCAATAGGTCCCCGACTTTGTTTTACTGAAATTACCGAGAACACTCTAAGTGCTCTCCTCACTTCAACAAGACGTAATCGTACGCGAAAGTCAATGTGCCCCAGTTATCTAACTATATTAGGGGTTTTATCAGCAAGGCCTTTGCCAACTACGCCATATGGATCCTGGAGATCCTCTACCAACGTGAGTGGGCCAAGTTGGGCGAACACTTAAGCCTTCGATAGCCAGAACGAAACAACAAGAAGGAAGTACTTGATAGAACGGACTTCATTTAGGGATATGGCCTAAACCTTATTCACCGAGAGTCGTTTAGTACCTTTATTTGCGCTCTTCTCGTCAATTGTCGTAATCACAAAGATCTCGACTGCCGGTGCTAGAGTAATACCAGCATTATTAAGGTCTGGATACAACACTAACCACCTCTATGCATGTCCACTAAAAACCATGTCTGTTCCGAACCCGACGAAACAACTCGTTTCCTGGGGCTGTAATTGCGACAACGACAATTTCCTTCGCAAAGTTAAGGCAACCGCTGCTATAACAAAAACAACAAGAACAACAGCGACATCATTTGTTTTCGTAATGGCGGTTTTAAGTCCTGATTTGACCAGCATACAAAAGTTATAGAAAATTAATTTAAATAAAAAATTTAATTAATTTTTCTAATTGCGGTCGCCCCTCGGCAGGGAATGTCAACCCTCCCAAGTGCATTTCTGACGTTGAATAAAGTTCGGAGGCGGCTTAGTATGAACTGTAGATCCCTCCATTTGTTGGAAAAACATCAAGACGCTCACCACAAAATGGAGTAGGAGCTCGACCTAAAATCACTTCAGCAATTACAAAGGGCCAATTATATAGTATATAGAAGACATGCCTGTCGTAATCGGCAACGAAAATCCAATAGTTCGCGCAACAGTCGGGTCTTTAAAACGCAACACGACGACTCAGATATCGGCTCGTAAGAGTTTTCGAGAGAAAGATTTGGTGGAAATAACGAAATAAAAGAGACAGATCATGGTCAAGAATGAATATCTGAAAGATACATACATAACAGATTTACATATGAATTTCATTTAATATCACATTCGCTTTTCTTCTTTTCTAATCTCATAAATCTGTTTATTTTTCGCTCCTTCATTACAGCATCGAATGCTAATACCATTACAACAACAACAAATCTAACTGCCACGCCCATTGTGATGTCCACACAAAAATTACAACTGAAAACGATTAAAACGTCACAACAACAACAACAGCAGCAACAACATGCTCGCATATTAAATCAAGTGACTGCAACGGCTGCATCACAAACGCATCCACAACAACAACAGCAGCAAACGATTATCATAGGACAGCATGTGGCCACAGCGCAAGTACCACAGCAAACACAACAACAACAGCAGCACATACAAGTCGGAGGACGCACTGTGACCACCACAAGTAATGCCAATCTGAATCAACAACTCATTTCGGCAATTGCGAAGGCAGCCAAACAGCAGCAACAACAACAACAGCAGCAGCAACAAGCGGCAAATCGACGTAGATCAGCAACGGATGTAAATAAATGAATAAATGAGGAATAAATGGAAATGGTTGGAAGTAAAACGGAAAACCGCAAACACAACAACAACAATAGCAACAGCAACAACAACATTTGCCAAATTGGTAACAGCGATAGTTAGACAGTTGAGTTGATTGTTGGAGGAAATGTCTCACGTGCGCGCTCGCGTTTGTGTGCGTGTTCAAAAAAAAAAAGGTGTGCGTGTGTGTATGTGTGTATTTGGGTGTGCAAAGAGTATGTGGGGAAAAAGTTATATAAGCAACAAAGAAGAGAAAAACAGCAGATATTAAACGAAACAAAAGATACAAAAAACATGATTCTATAAAACAACAAAAATATTATTAAAACAAAATACATACATATATTTAAAATTATATTGCAAATGCAAATAAAATACGAAAATCTAAGCTAAGGTATTATTATACATACTACATACATATATACTTTGCCCTAAAATAATGTATGAGTAAATTCATCTACTCCTAAACTACACAAACAAACAAACAAACAAACATACATACATACATCCATACAAACATGCATAAAACCAAGTCAAAACTATATAATATATTTGTCAAAATCTGTACCGTTATTGTGCTCATCACGATCAACACATTTCAGACTGTTAAAGCAGCAAGCATAAGGAAAACAAAACAAGAAAAAGACACATTTCAATTGACTATTTCTCTAATTACATAATTCTAGGGTTGAGGGTTTAAAGTTGTGCTTTGTGCCGATATACATACATTGTTACATATATTATATGTATTTATAAGAAGATTGGTAATTGTAAATAAAATTAATATATGTAAAATCGGGCGAATATTCAAAAAAAAAAAAAACAAAAGAAATTAATAGTTTTTCAAAAATAATCACATTATGTACTCTTTAATTAATTCGAAAAGAAATTTTTATGAATTTTATTGCATAAAGTCTTCTATGTACATATGTACATACATACATACTCGTACATAAAAAAATGTATTTGGCGTAGACAATTTTAATGATGCTGGAAAATTCAAAGCGTCCAATCAATTGAATTGAAAATAAGTTTATCAAAATTTTGTAAAAACAACAACAGCTAAAGAAACAAAACAAAAAAAAAAGAAAAATGATTTATTCCATTAAACACCGCTCACTCACTTTACCCTAGTCATTACAACCTAAAAACATGCATATGCATATAAATGTATATATGTATATGTATGTAGTATATATATGTTTGTTATTTACATAAGTGGCTAAAGTCGTTGTTAGTAGTTATTTATTAAGCACCACATAAATAAAAACATACCTACATACATACATATATGTATATATATATATGGAATGAAAGCAAGCAAAACTCCTACCAAAAAAAAAAAAATAAGAGAAAAATACACTAAATTAAATTAAATTAAAATTTGCGCTTTTCTCAAAAACCAAACTCGGCGTCACACTGAACCTTTAACACGACTCTTGAACGCCTTGAAAACAGCCGACTACAGTTTCCAAGTGTTTTGTTGTATGCATACATACAATCGTATGTATGTATGTATTTGGTACTAATGAACAAAAAAAAAGATAACTCTTATCAAAAATGTAAACTTAAGCTGAACCAAAAGAAAGAAAGAGATGATGAAAGAACAAAAAAAAGGCAAATTTTGCAATCAATTTAGTGCTGTGCTTTTCGGAGTTGACGAAAACAAAAAAATATGTAATTCATAACTCTACCGCCATGTCCACTTCTATGCGGGCGCAACTTAATTAGCAGCGGTGGGCTCAAGGTTCTTGGCTTTTTTTATTTGTATTTTTTTTCTTGAGAATTTTTTTTTGTTTTCTTGAGAATTCTTTTTAATTTCTCTTCATTTATGTACATACATACAATTCGAACACAAAATTTCGTGCAATTCCTACATAAAATCATATTCGTTTATACATACATACATACATACATATATCCTTGCTGCTGTAATTTGCCTGCCTATTGAAAAGAGAAGAAATATGGAAATGTTTGTTCTTCGTGGAGTGCTCGTTGTATAGCGAAAGTGTGGTTGGATGTATTTACTCTTGTAATATTTTTAAAATTGCAAATCAGCTATAAAAAGAAAACTACGCAAGCAATATGCTGCATGCTGCTATAAAACTTAATTATGTGCATTCGTTTCGCGCCCAATTGGCCAAGAAATAAGCCAACAAAGCGGCAAATCGTTTGCGAAGTGCAACCAAACACTTAATATGCGTGTATAAATTAATAATAATAATAATAATAATATTGATGTACATTTATACATACATGGCTCTATTAAAAAAAAAAAAAATATATATATATATATATATATATTTAAAAAAAACTCAACAAAATACACTCAACTCGAGTGAACAATTTATTGAATTATATATATGTTTATATATAGTATGAAAAATATGTTATACACATTGACTAATGCAAATAATTTTTAGCGGAGTTATTATTTATGTAGTTTTTTTTTTTAATTTTTTGCTCATCAATTTCGCATTTTTTTCCATTATGCGAATAGTGTCACATATGCATATATACAGACACATAGATATTGTACGCTTGTAAAATATTAAAAGAAAACAAAACAAAACAAAACACAAAAAAAAGAAACAGAAAAACAAAAACAAAAAACAGTTATTTCATACGTTATGTTAATTAAATAATAAATTATCTTTAATTATTTAATATTTGGCAATTAATATACGATTAAGCATAAATAATACATTTAATTGAAAACAAATACAAATATCAAGCTAAACGAAAGAAAAATACAAACAAATGCAGCAATAAATTATAAACAAAAACCTAAAATTAATAAATAAATATAATTTAGAGAATACATAAAAATTATAAATAAATTGCGTAACCTCTCTTTCCACATCTCTTGACTGAGTGTTTAATGGAAAATACACCTAAGGCATTTTTGCCAAATGAAACTGACTATAAGGTGAAGCAAAATGAATGCTGTAATGAAAGCATTTACCTTTCGAAAAATTTCTCCGACATTTAGTACGTGGAGTTCCATGAGACCGTAGAAGTCTGCGGGTATTCACCCTGAGTGGGTAAGAAGCTGAAGTTACTGCCGTGTAAGCTTATGGCGCATTTGAGAGCTTGCAGCATGGTGCCACATATCGCATGGACCACACCCTATGTGTTTGAAGACCTAAGGAGGGCTTAATGTGGCTCCAATCATTGCACTGCTTGCCGAAATGAGTGAATAGTAGAGTCGTGGAGTAGCGTACGCAGTAGAAGTACACCATCGGACCTGGGTTAAGTTCTGCGGCGCTCATGAGTAGGATTTTGAGTAGCGCAGCAGCAAGTTATAGCTCCTTTGATGTACTTAGACTAATGTTACCCATATAGGGTTGGGCTGCCGAAAGGGTGACAGTTCTTGGTGAGATAAAATCTGGTACAAACGCGATGCGTAGAACCGGCTGTCGTGAGAGTTTTTGTTTCACATCACTTGTTGTAACCGCTGGCTAAACCACGCCCAAGAGCAGGCAAAACTAGTATTATGTCGTTGAGATCAAGTAACGGTGAATCCAAGACGCGCACAGTTTCGAAGCCCACTCATTGCATGCAGTTTCATGCAGGGCATACGTTTACTTACGTCTTGCAGCTTCAGCTCTTGGTCTGCTATGGGTGGTGTTTGGCCTTCGAGTATGTAATTCACGGACAGAGTAAATAATATTACCGGCTAGCGATCTGAATATTTTGTTGCGGATCGGTACTTTGGATAAGTAAGAGTAAAGTAGCCAGCTCTTTTTCATAGCAATATTTCTATGATCTGACGAAGCAAAACGAGCTCTTTATCTTCTATAGGTATTGTTATTGGTCTGCGCCTTTCAAGGGGAGAGAATTAATTAAAGTGTTGACAGACTCTCTCGATGGGTCTTACATTTACCTTATATCCTGCCGAGGGGCGACTGAAACAGAAATTTTTTTAAATAAAATTTTAGATATTGGTCAAGATTCAAGTCCGTGACACTCCGCACGCTCCGCATGATAGAACGCACCACTTCGCTACAGCCACCGCCGGGAGCTTTTACCTTGTCAACGATCCCCTACTGTTTATTTTCAAATAATCGGGTATTTCATAGTACACCACTTTAACCGTTGACTGTTACGGCATTAAACGAATTCTAACCAATTCAAATATGATATACCGTTACAAGGAAGAGACATCTATAGTGTTCCCGACGTGCGTGCACTCCAGAAGTCGTAGTCGAATCGCAGCACTATTTTGTCGCAGTCAAGACACACGCTCGTCCGCCAAGTAAACACAAAAAATGTCCGACCTCTTCGTCAGCACAATAAATGTTTGAATTTACCCAATAAAAAAAGAAAGCGTACTAAATTGGAACAATATGAAAGCTTTATATTTTACGAAAAAATTAATAATATTTATACATCTTAAACCACATATGTTACATATCTACTTATGTATGTATGCATATATAGGACACATTCTATAGTTTTTCTTAACTATCCATATCTCTATGTAATAACAAATTCGGATAAAACCGTAAGCCTTCAACAGATTCGTCTCGACATACTTTTCCCAATCGTTCAGCCGCCAATAGCCGTTCCTTTGCTAATAGCAATGAAATGCCTAAATCCTTAGCTAGTTCTTCAACAGCCAAGGATTTCACTGCTTTCACCTTGTCCAGCGTGTCCTCTGCTACCACTTCGTCGTCCTGAGACTCCAATTGCAGTACCATTGCTCCACTCGGAAATTTTCGTAATTTTATAGGACCATTTAATTGCTGGCAAGCATGCAACAAATCTTCCGGTGAGAGTAATTCAAGGCCACGAGCACGATTTACTCGACAATATACATCGGCCAGCGACATCATACCACCTTGTTCCTGAAAAATGTTGACATCGTATTATACTTTTCTTTGCCAATATTTCATCATAATTACCTCAATTGGGTCCAACAATAATTCACAAATTTGCTGGGACAAACTGCGAAAATACTCAGAATTGCTACTGAAATTGTCACGCGTCACTGGATCGTCTATGCCCAAACTAAGTAAATAAGATTTAAAACGCACTGTTTCATCATCAGAAATTTCACCCTTTTGCTCTCGGATTTTTGTACTTATCACCTTCGATATTGCAACCATATCTTTTGCCATGGCCATGAGTACATTAAGGTCTTGAAAAGCTAAGGCTATATTTTCGTCTGTCTCTTTAGCCTTTGCCTCAATCGATCGTTCGATTCCACCAATACCAGTACGCATTTTCAGCCGTAATTGTGCTTGATTCGCACTGCTGTTAGGAGACTGTGCATTGTCCGCCTGCGATAAGGGTCTCGGTATAATGATTACTTCCCAAATACGAGCTTCGATAGTTTGGCGCAATGCACTGCCAAATTCTTGTGACAAACCATTTTTTCCTGATAGTTTGATATGACCGTGTGGACTATGATCGATTGGACCGGGAGCCTTATCCGGCGTTGGCTCACGTAAATATAATATATAACGAGTCTTACGACCAAAAAAGTATGAGCTAGCCGTTTCTTCACTTAGCGATATCACATGTCGTAGGGAAAGGCATAGTGTTATTGCAGCTCGCGCAATTTCACCAGGGCGGCCCCAAAATAAACGATGAGTGGTGAGCACAACTTCACCATCTTCATATTCTGTCTGTAATATTTGGAAGAGTAAACAAATGAAATTATGATTATCTATTTATCTACATGTACATATATCCTTACTTTTTCATCTCCATCATAAATTTTAACACTTCTATCGCGACTCACAAAGGTTTCTTCGTCATGTAAACGGGCTTCCACATATTCGAAGCGATTCATTTTTGCATTGCAAACAAAAAAAAACAAATTGATTTTTGGGTAAAAAAATACAATAAGCAATTTAACAATGAATAACGTCACTTTGTTTGTTTAGCGAACAGATGATTTCAAATCTTATTAAGGTATTTACAGACTACAACGCGTGTTGTTCCGATGTTAATCACTCTAATCCAATGCTACGACGTACCGATAAAATTCACTTTAATCGAAAATTTTTTTACGTTTATGTTAAAGCAGTTATCAAAATAAAATTCTTTTTGTTTTTAGCCAAAAATAAATGCTGTCACTAATGTTAAATCGATTATAGATAAATAAATGTGCTGTTGAACCATAGCGAGAAGCAATTTCAAAATGAATGTCAACGATGATTGCGTCTTCAATTTTAGCGATTTCATTTCGTTTTGATAACAAGGTGCTGAACCGAATATATTTAATTTCTTTGGGATAATTTTTCTTTTTAACAAAATATTATATCGTTGCGTGTGTTGAGCATTTCTGCTCTAATCTATACCTAAATTACGTAAAATACAATAGAGGTTTAAGAACCATATATGAAAATTATACTTGCATTTATGTTTAGAAATATATCCGCATTTTAGCGCAACTCAACACTGTACTACAGCTGATTTTGGCCTTTGGGGCAGTGTTTTGAAGAAATTCAACGCATCACGGAATTTAACAGTTGTGTAAGCAATTTATAAATTCTCAACAAATTTTAAATAATCAGAGTATTTTATAATATATGTTTAATTTGCAATAAAAATAATCAATATGCAGTCCTCACAGTACCTTAGTCAGCTAAGCGCTGCCGAAAAGATGAGCGATGAACCATGGCCCGAAGATGCGGTCATCTACCAGCCTTACGAGGCTGAACAGATACTTTTACCCGAACATGCAAGCTGTTTGGCAGTAAAAGCATATCTGAAGATGTGCCAACTTCCATTCGAAGTACGTTCCTGTGCGAACGCGGAATATATGTCGCCTGGTGGACGTCTGACAAAATTACCATATCTACGAGCTGGCACATTCAATGTGTCGGAATTCGAACACATTGTTAATTTTGTGGAACAAAAGGGTGTTGGTATTGGACAGTGGCTGGACGACGACTACAAAGCAGATATGCGTACATATGTATCTTTGGCTGAAAATATATTTACAATGGCGGAACTTTACATTAGCTTTGTCAATAAAACTGTATACGAAAAAGTGACAGCACCACGAAATGGCTGTGTATTTCCATGGCCACTAAACCTCATTGAGAATTATACAAAACGGCGCAACACTTTACGTATCCTGAAAGTTTACCAATGGAATGACATGACAATAGATGATGTTATCGAGAAAGTGGAAAAGTGCTGTGAAACATTAACTTTAAAACTAGAAGAAACACCCGATGAGCCGTTCTTCTACTCAAATCAGCCATGTGAATTGGATGCTATCGCCTTTGGACATCTCTTTGCAATTATAACAACGGATTTGCCAAATATGGCTTTGGCGCAAACTGTACGAAAGTTCAATCGCCTGGTAGAATTTTGCCAATTTATTGATAGCAAATATTTTCAAATGAGGTCACTATAAAATATTTATATGTATGTTTTTGTATTGATGTTTGCTTGTTGCTTATGCTTATGGAAAAAAAAATATTGTGTAAATTGTGTTACATACAATTTATTATAGATATTTGCATAAATTTATATACTTACTTATTTATGACCTTCTTCTGCATTTTGCCCAATCCAAGCGAGGCATTAAAATGCATTTCTTTGCTTTTAAACATGTACGTGCAATGTTTTAGCGATTAGCATTTGTTTGAATTTCTCAAAAATAGCACTGCTTCTTCATACTGTTCGAATACTTAGATAAAATTAAATATGTATTTCAACCCATGGCGCGTGCATATTCTCATTTCTTTCATAAAATTTTAATTCTTGGCGTGTACATATTAATTATTTGCTTACAATTTGTTGAAAACGATGTACATAATTACATTGAATATTTTTTGTTGCTTACGCAGATTCTTTAGAAATGTATATGTATGTAAACGTATGCAAGAGTTTACTAAATATTTCTTTTGTTTCTAGTAAGTAAATCTGGATTGTAACGGCGACCGAATTTGAGATCAAACCCACATAAATATATACTTTACCACTGTATTTTTTTTTTAGAATATTGTACTGAAATATATACCTGATGAACATCCATATATTAATAAATTGTTAATAAAATCTGGTAACATAAAATAAAAGAAACTTTAATTCATTTTTTCTGTTGTTGTTGTTGTTGTAGCGGAACACCAACCACAAATCTTAAAGCATCGTTAAGGTAAAATCTAAAAGCCGAACTCTTAACTCGAAAAATTCAAATAAATTAATTGATACATTAGAATTATAATTTTTAAAGTTTTTATTTTAATTATAAGATATATTTAGCGAAAGTATTATTAAAATGTAGTTTCTAGAAATTACATTACATTTTCTTTTTTTTTATTTGACAAAATTGGGATTTTTCTTCAAAATGACAAAACCTTCCATAACTGGCGTAAGCGAAATATACTCATCTGTGGCCAATTCGGCACGTTCGCCCATTGCCAACAACACGGGTGTTGTATGAGTTTGGAAACCAGTGATAGTTTTGGGTTTGCCAGCCTGACCGACCACATCGATAGCAACACCTACGCGTACGGGTACTTGCAATTGATTTAGTTCTTCGTCGAAGGTGATCAACATACGCGCCTGCATTGCCGGCACTAAAGTGTAGAGTAGATAATGTGAGCGGCCCAATATTAATGTTTTAACATCAAGCAGTGAAACCAGAGTGGCCATTAGACCTGCCACAGCCATGGGGTTCATCAACTGCCGATCGCTATGGTAAGGACTGAGTGTCAATGTTCCTTTACCCAAATGTGTAAGACTTTGTGCGATACGCACCATGAATAAATTGCTGGGATCCTTTGAATGATATTGTGCCAATTGACGCAACATAGAAGCGAGGCGAGCATTGTTAGTACCGGCGCCTATAAGACCCATAGCAAAAATGGCATTATGTGCAACTTCGGCATCGCTGTCATGCGAGAATTTGCTTAAAGTATCCAAGATATTTAATTTCGGATTAGAAGCTGAGATCAAACCCAAAGCAAGGGGAACAGCACGACGAATGCAAGGTTCACAATACCGTAGTAAGTTACCAAATGAGCGGAAAGCCATCTCGGCACCAATATCTTCGCCCATTGCAATCAAAGCTATACCCAAAACTGCGATAGCTTGAGTAGCAGATAGATCCTTCTCATTTTCTTTCTCCTTTTCAGCCTTATCCTAATGAAAAAAAGTATACCATATGTTAATTTTCAGCAAATTTATTAACTAAATACGTGACTTACCTTTTCCTTATTTTTGTCTTTTTTGCCCTTTTCGTCAGCACCATTGCTTGAAGACTCATAATGATCAGAGCAAATGTGTAGCAGTTGTTGTATTTTTAACACATTACCCGTGCCAGCGTAGGCGCAAATATCGACCATAGTAGTGGCCATCGAACGGTATGGCTCATCCAATACTTCCAAAGTTAACATAACAGCTTCAGTGGCCTTCTGACGACCCAAGTACAATAGACCTAAGCCTAGCCATAAGAAACGTGCATATGTATCCTTCAGATCCGTCTTTGAAAGACCCATTATTGTTTGTAATAAAATTTCAGTAATTTCGGCATTGCATGAACCAACAGATATTAGTCCCAAGGATAAAGCAGCTATGCCCATGACTTCTACGTTGGCAACGTTCTTACCATTTGTGGCAAATACTGTTTTCAAAGTGTCGATGACAATACTGCGATTTGAGCCGGCATACGCAATACCCAATCCAAGAATAGCGCCTATGCGCATTGATGTATTCTGATTATCAATATAGTCGGAAAGCAGGGCATGAGCAGGATCAACTTCATTACGGATACCACAATTAACAATGCCACAAGCTAGTAAAGCTCCCGACTTGATGTAATCATCCGTGGAGTAGAGATATTTGTCAATCATTGTCAAACCACCATCAACGTCCCATAGTAGAATGAGACCCAGTGAAGCAGTTGCTGAAAGCATGCCGTGTTCTTTATTCTTGTACAGCCACTTATTGCCATCTTCCGAAAGCAATTTGTCCACACCAAAACCAGCATTTACAAATCCATTCACAAAACTCGCTGCCAAATTTTGCTTCGCTGAATCAACCTGCAATTGTAATGCATTATTGATAAGTATATTTTGCAAAACGAATTTTAAATTTAAATTTGAGTTATTACCTGTATAGAAGCAAAACGTGTACGTGCATTATCCAAATGAGATTTGTAAATGTCCTCTGGTGTCTTGGCTTCCATGATATCAAGTTCACGTGCCAAATTCAAGAAATGCTTATTTAAATTGGCATTAGACATAATTTCCATAAGATCATCGTAATCCTGCACAGACTCATCTAATTCCAAGCATACTTGCTGACGTGCGAGCATAAAAGCAAGTTGTTTTTGTACAGCTGGATCTTTAGGTTCCTTGAATATTTCAGTAATTTTATCCATATCATTTAGCATTAACGCCAAACGTAAGGCCTGGGTATGCTGATTAAATTTGCGTGCCAATTGTAATGCCGTTTCCAATATAATGGTATTATCCGGTTCGGGTACATATGGATAGCACGATTGTAAATATAAACAAACGCGTGGATATGCAGACTCATCAACATAATCTTGCAATAAATGTAAATGATCAATTTCGATCAATAAGTCGCAAGCATCTGCTTCAGCATTATGCTCCATATTATATGGTATAATTTGTTTTACCAACTCAATTAGTTGCGCTTGAAATTCACCGGATGTATCCAGATAATGTGAAGCTATCTCGCCGGACAAATGACGTACGTATTCATGTCCCCAGTCACCAATTTTTTGTGAACGATCGCATAGAAAGCGGTAAGCCAAACAATCTTTACCACTACCCATAGTCATAGACAACACCGAAATGATGTCAGCGCACAATTGACGAGTTCCTTCGTCAGGCATTTGCTTGTAAATTGTTTTCATAGCTTCGTAATGTGGACGCATAAATTTCAAAGGTTTTGGGACAGAGGTCATCGATGTAGTGGACGCACGAATCAGTTTTGCCAGCATTTCCAACGCTGGCAAATATAGTGTCTTATCGGACTCTTGAAGACGATTAACCAACATCTCCAGTTCATCTTGCAATTGTTGATCTTCGTCAGATAATTCTTGCTCCTTACCTTCATCTTTAGTTTCTTTATTTGCTTCTTTTTCCGGCGTCTCCTTTGGCAAATCTTTCTTCACCTCAGCAGTGGACTTTTCGTCTTTCTTGGGAGCAACCATTTTCCAATTAGATATTAATTACACAATATAAATATTCGATGAAATCTTTTGTTAACAATACTTTTTAAATCAGAACAAATTTTTATTTCTGAAATGCTCACGAAGAATTACAGTGCGTTTTTGATCTGTCAAATCAGACAAACTGAGTTGCCAAGGAAAATATATTTATTAAGTTGGTAAGGCGATTCATCGAAAGGTCGATTCATATTGTTGCGAAAATGCGAGGCGAATGTCAGATGAAAGAGAGAAGCCGATAACACAAGAACCTTCCATAGCGAACAATTCGATGCTTCTACGCTTTCGTCTGCGAGCAGCCGACTGCTATATAAAGGCGACACTCAGCTGCAAGTCAAG